CTCTGTGGTAACAGTTCTGATGCTGGGTAAGAAAAAATTTCACTCTACAATATAGAAATTGGAGCCATCATCTTAAGACACACAGTTTTGGTTTTGTAAATACTTTGAGTGACTGATCACATTTTTTACCTAAGATGTAAAGGTTACTAGGGTTTATCACAGGACTATGCCTTTGAGTTCCTTGTCAGTGCACACTGGACTAGTCAGATAAACTTAATCTTTGTGTGGTCAACTCAGTAATTTAGGGTTAGCGCAGCTCCTGCCTAGATGAGAAGTAAGAGAAACTGGAAAACGCATGTTATTTTGCAGTTCTAGCCACTTATATGAATATTAGCGGGCTCAGGAACAGATGGGTAGAAATTTTGGGCTGGTCTTAAGAATAATTTTCTCCTAAAATCACAATTATTATTATTTCCAGTATAATTGTATAATTACCTCAAGAAAAATCTGCTTTGTAATTCTAACCTTCTCCTGGACCTTCTCGATGATGATATTAAAGTAACTATGTAGGGTAACACCCAGTTTATCTTTGTAGGCAGTGCCCAGAAGGATATACATGTGTGAAAGCTGGTAGGAACCCCAATTATGGCTATACAAGTTTTGACACCTTCAGTTGGGCTTTTCTGTCACTGTTTCGCTTGATGACTCAAGACTTCTGGGAAAACCTTTACCAATTGGTAAGAAATTCTTATGGAAAGATGGCAAGTAGCTTAAATAAGTTTATACCAATAATGCAGAAGGCCTAAAAACAATTATCTTATGTCTTAATTTTTATAATACAAAAACCAAAACTTTTAAAACAAAAACAAACCTGTTCCTGCTTATTGTATTGTTGCTTCCAGACTCTACGTGCTGCTGGGAAAACATACATGATATTTTTTGTTCTGGTGATTTTTCTGGGCTCTTTCTATCTGATCAACTTGATCCTGGCTGTGGTTGCCATGGCCTATGAAGAACAAAATCAAGCAACTTTGGAAGAAGCAGAGCAGAAAGAGGCAGAATTTCAACAGATGCTGGAACAACTGAAAAAGCAGCAAGAAGCAGCTCAGGTATAACTTAGGCCATTGTAGTGCAAAAGCATATGAAAATGACTTTTCTAGAGCCTGCTTAGATTTAGCATGCTTTCTGAAATTTGAGCTATTAATACACCCATTGATCTTTTAATAACAGAGTTAGCTCGGTGAGTTTGCCTTCTACAGCAGGGACATTGCTGCAGAGCAATCCAGGCATTACTGCGAATAATCCAGGCATAAGCAAGGAGGGATATTAAAGTCCATGAATATTCATTATTTTTTCTAGTCTAGTACCAGTGATACAATACTCATTCATGATCTGAAATGCTTGCAATCTCAGAACAAAAATACAATAAGAAAGGTAAAAGAAGTTATGACCAAAACATATTTAAGCAATTAAGTATTAAAAGAGAGAAGAAACTAGGGAGAGCATTCCCAATGGAAATTCTTAAGGTCTAAAGGTCCAGACGTGTTGGAGAAAAAGTTCTCTATAAGTAAAATTAGAGAAAGAACTGATGTTGTGCCTTGCTCGGTGACACAAATGCATTCTGCAACATGGCAGGCGGCAGCGATAGCAGCAGCGACAGCAGCAGCATCTGCAGAGTCCAGAGAGCCCAGCGCTGCTGAAGGAGCCGAGGGGCTCTCAGAAAGCTCTTCAGAGGCATCAAAACTGAGCTCTAAGAGTGCAAAAGAGAGGAGAAATAGAAGGAAGAAAAGAAAACAGAAAGAGCAGTCTGGAGGAGAAGAAAAAGATGAAGATGAGTTTCACAAGTCTGAATCAGAAGACAGCATCCGACGGAAAGGTTTTCGATTCTCTATAGAAGGGAATAGACTAACATATGAAAAAAAGTACTCTTCTCCACATCAGGTATTGCATTTTTGTTACTTTTAGGGAAAGTGCACATTTAAAGCATCATAAGCTATTACAAAACTGGTTAAATCTTCCTGATACAGTAATAGAACTCAACTGGCTAAAGAAAGGAAAGACCAGAGTTTTGAGTAAGTTCAATTATTGTTGCCAGTGCTTCAGAGAATGTGCTGTAGCTGCTAGACCATTCTCTAAAAAGCACAAAGAATGAAATGTAGTCTCATAATTCCATTCTTGAAATAAACTATTTAAAAAATCATAGTGAAATATTCTCCAATTCACTTGGTGGGGTTCTTGCATATTGTCTATATTCTTATTAAAATGCTGCCCTCTTTTTCCATAATGTTATCCTCACATTTTCTTTTTGCTTCAGTAATGTTTGTGAATTGGTTCAATATGTGAAGGATACTGTAAATATGAAACCTATGTGTGTGCTTAGACTTCCACTTTTGTTTCATGAGTATTATGCAACTCTAACTGCCGTTAGGAGCAGGGAGTCCTCAAAAATGTTTCTGTCATAAAGATCCATGAATTGTGATTTTTTTGTCTGCAAAATATAACGAAATACATACAAAAATCTCACAGCAGCAGTTTCCTTCTGGAGATAATGGTTTCACTCATATAGGTTAAAAAAAATCCATGTCATCCTAACAACAGTGCTAAATTTTAAGGTTTCAGCTAATAATTACAAATTTTGTTTGCCTGTAGTCCCTGCTGAGCATTCGTGGCTCGCTGTTTTCTCCGAGGCGCAACAGCAGAACAAGTCTTTTCAGCTTCAGAGGTCGAGCGAAGGACATAGGCTCCGAAAATGACTTTGCTGACGATGAGCACAGCACTTTTGAAGACAATGACAGCCGAAGAGATTCTCTCTTTGTGCCACGCAGACACGGTGAACGGCGCAACAGTAACATTAGTCAGGCCAGCAGGTCATCGAGGATGCTGGCAGTGTTTCCAGTGAACGGGAAGATGCACAGCACTGTGGATTGCAATGGGGTGGTTTCTCTGGTTGGTGGACCATCTGCTCCTACATCGCCTGTTGGACAGCTTCTGCCAGAGGTGATAATAGATAAACCAGCTACTGATGACAATGTAAGAAAGTTTTAAATAGTTTAGGCATCATGGCCTTTTCTCGCTGCACCAGCCAGTGTTTTCTCCAGAATGGAGTCCTTGGGAATGATTCCTGGTTGGCCAAGTTGTGAATGCTCCTGCATCTTGTAAAATCACAAATAAATAACACATATAAGATAGGTTTGCACTCTAAGCATTTTTTATCAATGTTCTCAAAACTAACAAATACAAATTGCAGCTTCCAAATAGTAAAATATTAAATTACTTTTACACTCACAAAAATATGCTACTTTTGCTAGTATAAATATCTATCTGGCTATTATTTTGCAAAATCAAAGTCATGGCACAACTGAAAACAGTACAAAAATGCCATCAATATAACACCGCTGAAACCAATTTATCAAAATTAGCAGTATCAGATAATTTTGATAACATCCTTCTATATCAGCCTCATGAAAATGGAATGAGGTTGTAAATTCATTATTACTATTCATTTCTCATTCCTATTTATTTTCCATCCTTTGCTGGTGTAGTTCGATAGTGTAGACAAATCGCTCATTGGAAGATTGCATTTATATACACACTTCCAAAAATAAAAAATGTCTTTGTGAGCATTTGTGAAGTATATATTGCTCTCATTGAATATGCAGGTAGGAAAAGATGTCTTGAAAAAAATTTCTTGGCTTAGTTAAAAGTTGTCTGCTTACATTATTAAAAAAAGAAAAATGCTAGCATGAGGAAGCATGATGAAGTCATACTTTTCTTATTTGAAACAGCGTACCTGGAGGAAAAGATTGTCAATTCGATAAAAAACAGAAGAGCAAGAAAAAAAAATCAAAGTTTGCAAATATTTTATACCCTAGTTTGGCCTTGGTCACTTTTCACTTGTTCCATTTTTTTTTTTTTTTGATTAATCAAAAGAAAGAAATGCGAAAGTTAAGCAAATATCACACTGTAAGTCTTGAGCAGAAATTCCAACAGATGATTATTCCCTCATATGTCTTTTAAAATTGTTTTAAAGATGCTAGAAAGTAAGAAAAGTCTGACTCGATAAATAAAGATCACAGTGCATGAAGCATCCAAGCTAAACCTTACTAACAGGTTTCTATATATTATTTGCTTCTCTCACGACTCAAATATGGTCTCGTCTGTTACTGTTCTCTGTGTAGGGCACCACAACAGAACCAGAAATGAGAAAGAGAATATCAGGCTCTTTTCACG